GAGACCAAAATAATCAGGAAATCATCCGCATGAAACTGAAAGACGTAGGTGAAGGAAAGTAGTAATGCATATGTCGACATCAGCAATACTAACATTCACTATAAGCTAAATTGAGCTGAAGTGAAGTTCCCTTCTTATGTGCAAGCGTTGAACTGTGATTTATTCAGCACACCCAAACTCTGGGGTTATGCCCTTGAGTCTTAATCTTTCTCTGTCCCTTTCCAGCAACAGATCACCTTTACATTTCCTGTATTAGTGGAGTTACTCACACAGGAGATAAAAGAAGGGTTGTCTGGAGATAGGGAAGAGATATAAAGACATCTGAACTTAGAGAAAAGCTAAAAATACAAGCATAAAAGAGCCGCTGTGCCACAACTATACTGCCAAAGAAAAAAACTGATATGTTGTGTAATAATGTACACTCTGTGAATATGAAGGAATCTGGCTCTGTTCTAGGTGAAAATGAGACCATATACTATTTACTTTCTTTGACTACTTCTGCAGAGCTTCCAGCATATATTTTTCACAAATTGACAATATATAAAAGTACTAACAAAAATGATACCTTGAAAGTTAGGTACATTAATAGTCAATAATTCTTTATTCATTTTACCTGGAAAAACTTCTTCCAAATTGCTACAAGGAAATTAGTATTTTACTCAAAATTTATCTCTGAAAACTCACTAACCTCTCAGTTTTCACTCATATTCTTTTCTTTGAAACCATAATGACTCTGAAGAATCCAGAAGATCATCTTATGACCCATTTTGTAGTCCAAAGATGTACCTCTGGTCAGTCAAATCCAAAGCAGTTCATTTACAACACTCAGTGTTTCATTGCATTGATGTTCTAACTCACGAACAAGAAAAGCAGTGAAGAAAGGTAAAGTTCTCTACAAATTACATTAGAACACAGACTCCTTGAGAATTAAACTCTGATTTATGTACACTGCCTATTATGATCATTTATAGTGAGTTATAATTGCATGTGGAAAAAACTTTTGCTAAAACGAAGTCTAGTCTTTTAAGACAGTAGTTAAAATGGATGTTTACATCAAGAAAGGGGAAGAGATAATAGGCACACTATTCCTATCAGTAAGATTTAGAATCCTAAAAGGAAGAAAATACAAAATTACAAGTGGACTCTGTAATGCTAAAATAAGTTTTATAATTTTGAACTCTGAATGTGTCTCATTTACTACGCTAGATGTTTCATTTAACTACGGCTTCCAAAGTACATAATTCATATTCCTAGAATTCATCTTAGATTTTGCCTGTTACAGCTAACACTAGATACTAAGTTATTTAAGTAAGTTCACTTTTCTTAAGATTGTTGAAGATTTTCTCATCAAAGTTTGTAACATCACTTCTGAATGTAACTACATAAAAATAGTGCTGGGGTTTGTGGCTTTATTTTTGTTGTTCCTTTTTATTTGTTTGTTTCATTTGTTCTTTGTTTGGATTTTTTTTTTCTTTTTTTTTTTTCCACAGTAGAGAGAAGAGGAAAACCTAGGCCTAGGATATTCTAAGTGGGGCAAAGGCAGGATCCCCCAAATCCTAAAGTGTTGCACAAGGCACAAACATGGCATCACAGTACAGCTTTGCTTCTCATAGCACCCGTATAGTAAATAAAAAGAAAAAGCTAAATCTTCTCTCCACTTTATTGACCCAGAGGATCCTACTCAAGAGTTATATACGAAAATGTAAATTTATTCTCAAAGGGAAAATATTTCCCTCTAAAACAATACGTACAATACATATTATCACAGTATACGTAGGAGTCTGGAGATCCCAGGATGAATATCCATAGCAGTACTTTTGTCCAAAGGATAGAGAGGAATAATTATAAAATTGGAAAGCTTTCAGTCCAAGTGATGGTTATTTTACATCAGTGCTATTTGGATGCAGATAGAGTCAAGATATATATTCCTAGAGCAGTTCTGAAGTCCTCTAAATGGGAGATTTTAGTTCTTTATTCTGGATATATAGAAAAATATTACTCAGAGCACTATCCGAAGATTTATATTTCAGCCAAATGCAAGAAGTATAGATAGAAATGAAGATAATTATATGTATCAGCCAGTTTAAATGATTTATAACACTAATGCTTACCATGTTACAGTTGTTATTTTTTTTCCACCTGGGATGCGTTCTTTCTTGTTAACTTAAGACTAAAAGTTTTGATATCTCAGTTATAGCCAACAGACAGATTTCAACTTAAAAATTCTATAGTATCTGTAAAGGTGGAGAATTCTTGTCCTAAAAAGTTTTAGAGTTTTAAAACTCTAAGGGTGCAGAGCCATGTGTTGTTATCGGATCTTTTCAATGACTTTTAATAACTTGCAGCATAAACACAGATTCCATTAATTATAATAAGAATTATATTCAAAAACAATTTAAAAAAGCCCATATAGTTTATATTCCATCATCCTGACAAAAATTTAATGACTAAATACGTATTTCTAAAGGCCAGACACTGTGTGTCTTTGAAGGACAGTCAAGAGAACCAAGTGTCATTAGCAATTTTTGTTTTTTCTCATCTAGGAAGATGAATTTTCAGAATACTGTTTGATTAAACATATGTAATCACTGTTACAAAACAGTTTTCCAGTTCTTTGTTGATGATATATTCCTAGGATCTCAAGTTGAAAATAGTCTAGCTAACATTTTACAGTGGCCATCTAGTAGATTTTACATCTACTTCTGTTTATGACACAATATAAGCTGAAAGAAAAATTATTAAATATATCTTAATTACAGAATATATATACTCATAATGTCAGGCTTTCTTCTGCAAAAGAGTGGTCAGGCACCGGAACAAGCTATCCAGGAAAGTGGTGGAATCATCATCCCTGAAGGTGTTCAAGAAACGTTTAGATGTTGTACTGAGGGACATGGTTTAAATGGGAAATATTGGTGATAGGTGGACAGATGGACTGGATAATCTTGGAGTTCAATTCCAACCTTGGTGATTCTATGATTCTATACTATAAAAATAATTATACTCAGTAGCTGGGTACATTCCAGTGCAAATTTTCCAAAGGAAGAAAAGATGTATACATGGACAATTCAGTTATTTGTTATTATGTCTGCCCTGTTCAGTGCAAATTCCTCTATCACAGGATGTGATAATATCAATAGAACTACTTAGGTATGACACTTAAATCTAGTTTACATGTGTCCTCTTATATAAAAAGTCACAAATGAAACAAACTCAGAAAAATAAATCTTTTGAAAAGAAGACAATTCAGGCTAGAAGAACTGGATGCAAATACTGTCAACCTTACAAATGTACATGTTATGAATTATAAAACTTTTTAAAATTTTATGAATAAATATATTTGCTTTCCATGTGCTTATGTACTTTATATTTTCTCTGTCCTTAAGAAATGACACAATAGTACAGGGAATTCAATTACTATCTTCCAATCTCTAGGCAGAACCAAATGTATTTTCAAGAGTCACATTTACATTTCACAAAACCAAATAATAATAATAATAATAAAAAAAAAAAACAAAGAGATACGCTCACAATTTCTCTGAGCTAAGTGATATATGCATATTCTGAATATCTTCTGCTTTTCTGCTTTTTTTTTTTTTTGGTCGTTTTTTTTTTCCTAAACACCACAACTGTCTGCCTCTCTTTCTTTCCTTAGTCTTCAGCATGAATTCACATAATAGGAGTATATAAACAAACATATTGAAAACTTCCTTAAGATTGATGCGTAATGCTAGACAGTCAAATAGCTTAAATAACTTACAGTCATTTGTATCCTTCAAAAATTTAATTTTAAGAAACAACAATAAAAGCTCTATTGAGAACCTCTCAATAAACATTTTTAACAGATCAATAACTATCACTAAGCTCCTAGGCAAACATTTTATCTTACAACAGTAACAAATCCAATTTAATGAAGATTATGTACATACACATAAAAAGTGTTTTGTTTGTTTTTGATATACTTCTCAACACCAAAATTTAATATATATATACATTAAAATATACATTTTTCATTCCTGCCTTTATGTCTACCTTTAACTTTAAAAAAAATGTTCTTTTTTATTTAAATAAGTCTCAAAACAGGAGTAAAAACTAAACAAAACAGTTTTCATTGCTCTGATGAGACAATATATTAGCCACTTTAAACACATTAATAGATAACTCAGCAAAAGTTTCTTCTTTTCCAAAATAATATAGACCAAGAACCTTGATCAGCTTTGCTAATAAGAAAAGATTTTAAATGCAATCCTAAAAAGACTCAAATAACTTTCTTCTTTTTTTTTAGTCTAAAATGATGGAAATGTGAGCGTACAAAAGAAAAAAAGGAAACAAAAATCTACATCCTTTTTCATCAAAATTACAAAATCATTCCAATGTCTGCTATTATTACAATGAAGAAATTGAGCATCATGGAACCATGGAGAAAGCAGAAAATTAATATTTTTGGCATTCTGTTCTGGATGTAAGGGTATTTTGGCATTCAGTATAATACTGACAGGAATATTTACAATGTCATGAAGATGTTTTTCTTGGAGTCATTGAAAGGAGTATTACTTTTTCTTAAAAGTATAAATTTTTCATGTGGAATTCCTCAAACTTAGAAGAAACTTCTTGATTGCAGTAAAAATTTCAGTAAAAAACAAACAAACAAAACCTTCTTAAATAATTGAAAAAAAGAGCAAATATGATACAGTGATAAATTTAGCTTAAACTATCACTAAGGTACAAAAATCAAGTGATTTTTTGTTTATGGTGAAGACAGTCAACAAGAAAATGGGTAGACGTAACTCAGTCTAGTTTCCAGAAAACATTAAACAGTATTCAGTAGGAATGTACTGCAGTCAAACTAATCACCTTCAGGAATGCTCTGTTTTGAGGTTCAAGTATATATGATTTATCAGTAGATTTAATTAGTAATTAAATATTTATATCAAACTGGCCATTTAATGCCTTCTAAATCTTTCAATAAAAGTCTTGTGATGAAGAAAAGAGTCACTTACCTAAAACGCCCAGCCTGTAATTGAGGGTGACAACAATGACATTTCCATAACTTGCAAGAATGCTCCCATCAATCATGTTGCCAGTACCCTCCATGTAAGATCCGCCATGGATGTAGACCATAACTGGTTTCTTGCTGTTCTGATCATGAATGTCTGAAAAAATTCAAGTAATGAAAACATAATAAACTAATAAAAAAAAAATGAAATCTGGCATTAGTATTTTTTAAAAGTGCTAAAATTATTCAGTTGTTTCTCATGTTTTCCATGTCATCATCACCACTTTATTCAGCTATTTTACACAGTTCAGGATCATTCTACAAGCCCAATATTTGTACACTTTTCATATTTCTTACTATTTCTTACTTCAAATGCCATTTTTATTAAATATTTTCAGAATCCCCTTAAAAACTTTCCATATTACAGAAATTTAATTTGAATGTAAACATCTAAAATCCAAAGGAAAAAAAATAAAATTCTGGAATAATCTTGACTTTTTTTTTAATAATATGCTTCAATTTGGTTCTATTTCAATTTACAAATATATGTACATTTAATAACAAAATGACAATAATGTTTCATACTTTCCCATTCCTCAGTGATACATATTTGTTGAAATTACATTTTCTATAGTTCAGTAACAGATAATATCACAAAAACAAATTGTTCTGAATAAACTAAACACAGCAAAATATCATTTCTTTCTTAATAGCCTAGGAGTAAAGAAAAACAGAATTTAAGTGAATATTTGGCTCAGATTTTTTTTTAATGTAAATCATGATTTTATTTTTTTTTTTGGCAGCTAAACATTAAAGAATATTCTTATATTTATGGTCATGAATTGTATGCATAATCTTTGGTACACAGAGAAAAATTACTTATAGCTTTCATGCAGATAAACAGTTGGGTCTTACTTTCCAAAATAAGGTAACTTCTGAGTGAGATACAAAGTTGGACTAATCAATAATTTAGGCATTTTTTACTACATTTATATTTCTAATAATGAAATAATAAGCCCCCTCATCAGACTAATTAACTTAGGAATTAGTTCTCGCCAAACTGTGGGAATAATATACCTTAGAAAGCAGAACGGTATTCAGCAAGCTGGTGTTAGAATTAACTATACACTGTTTACAAACAATTCACTGTATCTGCATGTGGAGTAGGACCACTTGTTTCAATTAAATAATACAAAACACTGGAGAAAGCAATGTCTCTGACTACATAGTCAGCATTTAGAAACAAACAGAAGCAACTGAGCTCTCTTCTGAGTAATTTTCAACAGTTGTGTTGAACAGTGGAAAAAATAAGAGGAAGAATAGGCTGAGAGGAAAGAGGAGTGACTTTGAAAGCCTTTAAGGCTCTCAGCTCCCTCAGATTTGTTAGGATTAACTCTCAGTTACCAAGAATGCAAACAGCAATGAGCCATCCCATATACAATATTTTGTATATAGGGAAGAAATTTGAAAGTATTTCAAGGTAAATTGTGACTGGTCATATTTCTTTGGCAAAATACCACTTTGCTCATGCAAATATCAGAAGTCATCAGTTGAGTGAAAGGCCAATATGTCCAAGTGTACATCTTTATAGCTGTTAGAATTTAAGACCTCATAGAATCTGCCTTCTGGTCATGAATATATATACTTTACATGTTGCATTTTATATGTTGCATCTAGGCAGCAGAACAAAAAGCTGTATGATAAGATTTGTGTAATTTTTGCAACTATTAGAGGGATTCAGACATTAAAGAGGTCATGTAAAGCAATGAAGTACATAATAATAGATTAGGTGTTTTTTTCTTTGCAGCATTCACAGCAAAGTACATGAAAAGAGTTTCTTTGTCCTGTGAGGGCTTAGCTCTCAGAAAATTAAAGCAATAAGTACTAATTGAAATTATTTGTGTTACAGAACAACCTTCCCTTTCTCTCCACAAAAGTCTTGTGGCATTATTCATTATATTCTATCCTTTCTTATTGCAAAGTACTTCCTCAGGGTTGAATCTTTCATCACTGAAATCAATGAGAGATTTTCCCTTCAGTGGGAACATGATTAACTTCAACATAAAGGAAATGAGCTTCATGCGTTTTATGTATTTAGTTCCTAAACTGTAAGTCTTTGTTTGGATACCAATACTTTATAACTTTTGAAGAAATCTGAAAGAATTGTTTGTTCATAATCAAGTATCTAATTTTTAAGAGCAATTTTGTTTTCACTTGCCATTTATCTTTTGCTTAAAAATTGACCATAGAATCTGTTATATTAAATGACAGTACTGTCATTTTGAAAAGGCATATGTAGAAACACATTTATAAACAGAAATAGAACAAAATTCAGATAAGAACAGAAGAAGTCTGCAGAGCATTTTTTTTGTTACAATAAATAGTGTAATTCAGAAATGAAGGTTGTGCAGTAGAGGACAACCACTGTGAATTGAAGACCAGAGACTTTTATTGTGGTATTTCATACATGGATAGAGTAGCTATAATTGAGCTGAACACCCAAGCAAGAGGAAATTAAAAAGTAACATCAACACAGTATGCACAATTCTAAGGGGAACCAATAGGGCAAAATTTTTCAAATGCACTTGAACTTCAGTTTGAAGAAAACTATAAAGGCACTTTGGAATGGTCAAGAAAGAGAAAGAGACACATTACTGCAAAAACAGAACAACAAACTTCCTAAGGTGGTGATCTGCTCATTTAATTTGAAAATACTTTTCTTAATTTGTAAGTACAAAAAGTATACTAAAATGCCAGTGTAACATAAATGAAAAGGATGGTGAGAATAGAGAAATATTTCATGACTTCTTTCTATATCAGGGCATCCTGCCTTTTCTGTGTCAAGGCAAGAAAAAAGAGTATTTCCTTGCAAAACATTTTTGGGGTACTTCATTGTGAACTTTATTTCCTTTCAGGAAATCCAGTCCAACTCAGAAAGAAGTCAATGAAAAAGATTGTCATTGATTTCAGTGGGAATGTGGTCATAGCCAGAATGAATGTATCTCAGAGGCTAGCTGATTACAGGGAAAACAAACAAACAAACAAACAAAAAACCATAAAGCGACATCAACAGCTTCTTTTACTTTTATATCCTAGAAATAAACCACATTGTGTGAGAAACATATATAAATTAAAATACCAAAGATGAAGCACAACGCAACTGCATTTAATGTACAGTAAGTGCACTGGGGAAACAGTGGAAATGAAATAAAGTATGTATGCAAGCTGTTTTCATGAATTTCAAACAGGTGAATTTACAAAAAATGTAAGAGGGAGAAGAGCACATGCATGTTTTTAAATTCCATTCTCTCACCAAATAAAGTATATGTGAGGGGAAGTATGTGATTTTCAAGAGTGTTCTTGTTACTCACTTCACATATATTTAGGAATAAACTTTGCACTTATGTTACAAGGGAATTTCAGTTATCTAAATGTTAATTTGGATTTTAAGAAGAAAAACAATTGATGTTACCTCTAAAGAAGAAAATAAAAAAGCACACAGAAGTGTGTTTCTGCAAGTAAGGGACTAAAAATCATGTTGAAATAACAGTAATAACAATAACAATAATAATCAATGTTATTATAATAAAAATGTAAAAGTTTATGTTCATGCATCAGGGTTGAGCTTTGAAAAAACAAAAAATACCTTCATCTTCACCACGATCATTACTGGTTATATCATCTGCGCTTTTCTTTGTGTTGGCTCCTGGGATCATATTGAGGAGGAGAATAAAGGGAAAAAAGAGAATTCAAAAACAGCAGGTTCTCAAAAATAAAAATAAAAAAACAACTAGTACAAAAACAAAAAATGTAACAAAAATATCAAAATCTGTTACATTTGAATTTGAAAAACAAAAAAGATGCAAACTGCACATAAACATAAAATGTCAAGAAGAACAAATTGAAAATATTTGAAAAAAATGTATCAGTCTGTGACAATGCAGTTACTTCAGTTAAAAGTGATTGCTGCAAAAAAAAAGCAAAATTAATGCGCAATTAAAAAAGAATATAAACCAAAAAGGTATATTAAAAATTTTACGAAAATATGGTTTCTACATAAGAAATGAAACTGATTTAATTATGTTCTGTTGCCTTGAAGAGGCTTCAGTCAGTATCTTCAATGACTTCATGTTTTATTCATTCTTGTGAGGCTTTATTAGGAATTAACCTAAATCTTAAATGAAACCAATAGAAATAAAATTATCATTAAATCTTACACAATTTGAAAGGACCAAGAAAAAAACATAGTAGACTTCTTTAAAATTTAGTTTTCTTTCTCATGGGAGCAAAAAGATATTCAAAACAGAAAACTGAAAACAAAGAAGAAACACAAAATTGAGTCAATCCCAGACATGATTTTTTTTTCCAAAAGTAGCCCTTGTTTGTATTATGCTACTCAAACTCTGTCGAAAACATAGAAATGGAAAACAGATACTTACCATGAGAAATAATTTGTGCTTTTTACTTACAAAAAAAAAGCTAATGAATAAATTTTAATCTGTATTTAATATATTTTCACAACATACTTTTGAGGCACACATACATGTATCCACACACACTATAGCCTGTGTTTATGGAAGGTAGATGAAATAAGCCTAGCCATTTTCCTCATCCCAATCTTTGGTCAATTTATCTGTTTTCTGACTAAAGAAATGGCACTAACCTTTCCATACTATGTTTCATTATGCTGTTATTACTCCGCTAGCAAGTGTTTTGCAATTAATAAAAAATAAATGTTATGCAATAAAGAATGAAATATGAATCAGAAGCTCTATTTCTATCTTTGTACAGAAATCAAATATGGCTGTTAGGCAAACAAAGTGGTCTAAGTCAACATTCTAGCAACCTTTTTTTTTTTTTTAATTGCCTTTTTTAGGGTCTGTATTTTCAAGCCAGACTGAAGAGGAACAATAAACTTGATTGACTTCGAGTTTGCACACCAAGTGTAAATATGGCACATATACAGCAATGCTACAATATGATATTTAAACTATGAGCTTTAGATTTCTACATAGTTGTTGGTCATTTCACTCTGTCCCTTTCCTTCAAAAGCGAAAGCGTATGTTTCGCTGATTTGGCTGAACATAGGAGGGACAATTTTTGGAACAGGTTAATATAATACTGAAATGTATTTAATTACAGAATATTGAGTAGGAGTGTTGTTTCCTTACCTATTGTGTAATGCATTTTCATTTTTCTGTTAGTAACTGAAGTATATTTTTAAAAGTAAGTTCTTGTCCAGGATGTTGGTGTGAGGATTGCTCTTTTTGAGATATCATTTAATCAATATGTTAGAACATCAATATGTTCTAAAAGAGGCTTCTGTGTTCCTACCACATCATATATTGTGCGTACTAGCCAGTACTCACATACAAGGCATATCAGTATGAATCTGCTTGAAGAGAACAAAAGTGTTATTGTTGGAATTATTTCAGAAGTATCAAAGACACATAAGATACTTAGGAACAGTTCAGAAAAAAATTATATTGACTTTTTGAAAATATAAGCTTGCAGAACTTTATTACAGGTAGGAAAGATTTGGAATTTTCCAAGTAAGTTTTCTGATTCTTTTAAAATGTGGAATAATTTATCCTGAACCTTCTGTAAGAAATTGTTAACCCCTGTGATAAGGGGAGGAAGGCGGGAAAGAGAATAACTAACTAAATAAATGAATAAGACATGCTACCCATGATTAGTGTAAAATTGCACTCGTGTCCTCAATCAAAAGAGACAGAATGGGAATGTGACACAGATTCACCTGTGATGAAAATTCAGTTCACCAAGATGAACAGTATTTAGTACTTGCTCTACAGACCAGAAAGCCCTCCTCTTTGAGGCTTCTCTTGAGGGGGGTGCTGTGATGATAGTATTTTTTCCCCTATATAAATATAAAACTCACTGCAGCAATTTTAACCTTTGGATTCCCATACAATAGATGAGCATTATCACTGATTTATAGGATTGGTTATTCTGCAGATTAACAACTATTTATCTGTTTAATGAACATTTCCCACATAAAATATAGATGATAAATCTTAACAGTAATCCTGGAACCAGCAGAAGAGCACAGAAGAGTGCAGATATTTACTAGTGATGATCTAGTGCAATAAGGACTAAGTTTCGAAAGTGTCTCTGTTCAGATATGGAGATATTGGTGTGATACCTAGATATGTTCACAGAAGATTACATTTGTAAGAGCGCTGCATATTAAATGTTGAGTGATGTCTTGTCAATTCCATTTTTTTCCCGAATGAAACTAAAAGGCATGGCATAATTCCTCACTGAAGTGCGGCAAATATATTTTTTTAAGGAAATTTGCTTGGCCAATTTCTTATTGTTGCTTTTTTATTTTTTTTTATTTTTATTTTTTTGCAGGGGGGGCGAGAGGGAGGGGATATATTTTGATATTATAACCACATATGTTTGCAAATGTGAGCCACTTCCAAAGTATTAACAATCAGTCTAGATGAAACTGTACAGTATTTCATTTGGGCCACTTTATTTCTCCTTAAAAAGCTTTTTATGGAATGCAATTTTAAGCTTTAATTCAGCAAGCATCTCTCTTTTAAAGTATTTCATTCTGAAATTCTGTACTAATTGAACTTACAAAATTAATTAATTTCACTTATCAATGAATGAAAGTTGTTCCTGTATTATTAGATTAATTATGGATGCCCATATATCTTTACTGAAAATGAAGAAGTTATACCACTCAGTCAGTCAAGAGTTCACTGTCTCACATTCCCTTTTACTGTGAATAAGAATCTCATTCAGAAGTAGATATTCTGGAGCTTTAGGTTTTCCTAAATATATTTGCAATTTGTGCTAAATCTTTCTCCTCTCAGATATATATCATATATGTGCAATGCATTCAGTTCCTATGCATGCAGTTTACCAATGCATTTCAAGTATCCATTCTGAAGACTAATGACAGCAGAAAAATAGCTACAGTGATAGCTGAAGCATTTTTTATTTTTTGCATTTTAAATGTAACTGTTCCACCTATCATATGGTAACCTTTTGACACCATGTAATTTTGAGAAAGCACTCAGTTTTCAGGAATCACACAGCACATTATGAATAATACTAATTAGGCCTCCCAATTTCATACACTTACTCTACTTTCTCGAAAGCTCAAGCTCAATCTAGATGAATACAAGATTTAATTGCCATTCTTTCAGTGATATGTGATATGTCTATTTGCGCACCTCTTTCAATAGATCTCTAAAGCTCTTGGTTTCCCATCCCAGGAGAGCTATCACAGTTTTACAGTCAGCTCAAGTCAGCAGTTCACTACTGTCTCAAGGGGGCAATAGGAAAGCAGAACTGTATTTTCTGCATTTTTCCCAGGACTGCTTTTTCGCCTTTATCTTGATTTTCATGCAGTGTACAAGCCATAAGTCCTTGGCTTGCAGCTATGGCCAAAACTTCAGCTACCTTTGTAAGTGTACCAAGAAGGTCTCATTTGGCAGCTGAAAAAAGATCAAAAGAGACATGTAGACATTTCAAATAAAAGTGGAGGAAGAAGATTATTGAGAATTACAGCTTGTCAAACTGTCTTAGAATCTGTCTGTGGATCATGTACACTAGGAGAGATCTCAAAGAAAGGCAACCAGCTCTTCATGTATCTCTACTTTAAAGACTGTTGATTTTGTATGAAGACATACAGTCGTAACACCTAGATTTCAATATCCTTTAATTTTTGTCTATTTAATGAATACTGCCAATATGTAAGAGCGTTTATAAATGCATGCGTATATTTGAAAAGTTTGAATGCAGACATATAATAAAAAACTGTATATAGTTAACAGAATTCCAGAAGGAACACAGGTTTATTCTATGGCCCTCTCACCCCACAAGGGTGGCATAATGAAATGAAAATCTGTCTATTTTTCATGTGAAAATTTAACCTGTTGCTGTCAACATGCATAGCAACTAGGAAATTTGATTTTACTTTCTGAGATCAGAAGGATAAGGAATATATGTACACCCTGGAGCTCCCACATTGTAGTATAACAAAAAATATAAATAAATAATATGGAATTTGTGTTCATATACAGCACTTTCTTAATGGCTCCAGCTGCAATACTTGAAAAAAAATCACTAGACTTTCAGACTTCAGCAAGTGTGTGTAGCTGCATCAATACAGACAAGAAATATTTATTTTCAAGAAAAAGAGAATTAAATAACAATTTTGTGTCATGTTCAAAATTGAATGGGCAGAAATAAATTCCTCCTCCTTACAGAATTTTGCATTTCAGGCATTAGTGAAGATTACAAAGAAAAGAAAGAAAGAAAATGCTGTTTCACAGGCTTCCTTCAAGTGCAATTTTAGAGAACAAGTAACAAATCTCCATAGAGACTTCTATAGAAAAGGATATAAAATCACAGATTGCAAAAGGTTTGCACGAAAATACGAAATTCTAATAAACTCAGCTTTGTACATTGTGTACAGTTTTCAACTTCATGATTACATCTGCTTTTGTTTCAGACAGATTGTTTGCATCTCTCTGTGCTTTGACATTTCCATGTATAGAGAATGAAAGCAGGATGAAAGTCATAATATTTAACAAATCACAGTACTCTCAATATTGTTCCTCATAAATAAAGACAGAAATAATGATTCCTCTATGTGCAAAATTATGTGTTTCTCACAAGCCATTTCCCAGGGCAACAATAAGTGCATTAAATTAGGCAGTAACTAAG